GAAAGTAATAAAATGTTTATGTCTTTGCATCAAATTATGCCAAGTAGTATCAATAAAGATCATCAATATCCATAAGCAGTATCAGTAACAAATTCTAAAAATAGTTCTAATTTTAGCAAAACTGTCACAGCACAAAGACACAATATGCATAAAATCTGAATAAAACAAAGTCTACTTTTATTTGCATTTGTATTTATAATCTCAGTTTACAGCACTGCTGTCTCATGGTCGGGGGTTTAAATACAGAAATCAATACAGTGTTTCTGAGAATCAATACAATATCACAAAACTAAATATTGCAATATTTGTGGTTATTTTATTTTAAAATATAAAAAAATTTTGTATTGCAATATTTACTTCTCTGTAAACTGAGAGCTACGATGTTACAGCAACTGTGATGGATACAAATATCAATACAAAAAACTCAGAGGTCAAAGGTCACTGTTTCTGACAGAGTCAGTAAACTAACCCTAACTCATTAATAATCTGATTTTCACCAGCAGCTGATTCACACACACACACACACACACACACACACACACACACACACACACACAGTCTGTCTCTCTCTCACTCACTCTCTCACTCTCACTCACACACACACACACACACACACACACACACACACACACACACACACACACCACTCACTCACTCACTCACTCACTCACACACTCACACACTCACACACACACACTCCCACACACTCTCTCTCACACACACACACACACACACACACACACACACACACACACACACAGTCTGTCTCTCACTCACTCTCTCACTCACTCTCACACACACACACACACACACACACACACACAGTCTGTCTCTCACTCACTCTCTCACTCACTCACTCTCACACACACACACACACACACACACACACACACACACACACACACACACACACACACTCACTCACACACACACACTCACACACACACTCACTCACACACTCACACACACACACACACACACACACACACACACACACACACACACACACACACACACACACACAGTCTGTCTCTCTCTCACTCACTCACTCACTCACACACACACACACACACACACACACACACACACACACACACACACAGTCTGTCTCTCTCTCACTCACTCACTCACACACACACACAGACAGCTGTTGCATGCAGTGAGTTTGTGTAACCTGCTGCCACCACTGCAGTGCGGAGAGAGAGAGCGGGAGAGAGAGGCTTACTGACAATACAGGAAGATACAGACTGTATCAGTGAGAGAACACCAGACACCAAATGACCTCCAGGAGTCCACCAATCTGGACTCTGAGGTGTCTCACACCGGGATGCAGCCCATGTTAATACAACCCAGGACTGTTCGAGACTCGGCTAAAGCCACTCTTCAATTCGGCGTACATTAAATGCACCTATGAGCTCAGTCTGTTATTGAAATTGTATTTTTTCTAACTGATTCACCTTGCCAATCGCCGCTCTCCACTGTGTATTGAATATAAATGGGAATGTAGCGGGAAACAGCAAAGCAATATTAATAGTGACATTTTACTAAATTACATGCTGACTGGTTGATTGTATATTCGCCGAATAAAAGGAGAAAAGGAGAAAATGTAGTAAATCATTTAAAGTCTAATCAGTGCGATATGTAGCTTTGTCAACAAGAAAGGAATCCTAAAATCGCAAGATTTTTAAGTGGAGTTTTGTACGGAGTCAGTCAGAACAACAGGCGAACCAATTACTAAAGGCTATGTTTTGACCGAATTAAGAGATATTTTGCGCAGTACATGTGCGCCGAATAAAAGTGTATATTGACCTCCTGAATAACAATGTTAAATATAATTTAAATGAGGAATATATTGCTGTCGGAGAGCCAGAGAACTTAAAAGTGCCACATTTCTCAAAGGAGTTTTGGTTTGACTTTCTGTCTCTGAAGCAGCCTTTAACGCCGCTATCACAGCCACAACAAAGGAGGGAGATGCGGGTTCCCGCCGGAGAGACAAGCCTCAGAACTCACCAGGTCTCTGGGGTTTTCCATCAGACCGGACCGCGGGGGGACACACTCACTGAAACTCTAAAACCCGCAGAAATAATCATTAAAAGCCAGCGGCAGACATATCAACAAAATTAGCATGCTTCCACTGCGCATGCGCCGGGTCCGCGGCTGCTGGTCTCTCATTGGCTGCTGGCTCTGCTTCGTGTGAGGAGTTCAGATTAGACTGTGTGTCCGCCAGCGACCCCTGCTGGACACACCCGGAACCTCAACAACGCCTTCACCTAAATGTAATAATAATAATAATAATAATAATACTGTACAGAAATACTATTATCAAAAGTAATCATTGATTGATCCAGTTGGGCGAGGTGGAGCTAATTATTTATGTATTATTCATTTCATTAAATGTACTTTTTTTAAACTTGTTGTGAACAGTGCAAAAACCTTATTGTCTTAAAACAAGTGACACAATCTTTTACTGCACTAGGATCAGATGAACTATCATTATTATAATGAAAAAAAATGCTTCTACTTTTTAAGACACATATTTTTATATATATATTTGATATTAGGATTTAATTATAAGAGATTTCTTCAAGAATAAATGCATCAGGATTTAAATTTAAAAGCAAAAAAAAAAAGCAATATTTCCCTCTGAGATGCAGTGGAGAGATAACGCTGCCAAAAATTAAGAGAAATACCGTAATTGTTATTTTAAGTTTGAAGTATTTATGTATCTACATTTTACTCTTTGATGAATGAAGTGAAAACACATTCAATTCAATTCAATTCAATTTTATTTGTATTTCAATTCATAACAGAAGTTATCTCAGGACACTTTTCAAATAGAGCAGGTCTAGACCGAACTCTTTAACATTAATTACAGAGACCCAACAGTACCACCATGAGCAAGACCTTGGAGACAAGGGCAAGGAAAAACTGCCTGTTAAAAGACAGAAACCTAGGACAGATCCTCCGGCTCTAGGTGGGTGGTCGTCTGTCTCGACCAGTTGGGGTGAGAGAGAGAGAGAGAGAGGGACAGGTGCACAGCAACAACAGTATTGGCAATGGCAATCTAGCAGGACCATGGCAGGAGGCTCCACCAGGATCGATAAGAACCTGCGAGACGAGAAAGCACAAGAACTCCGGGGAAGAAGTGAAGTTAGTAACATGCATTAATGGAACATGAATGAGTGCAGAAAGAGAGAGGAAGAGAGTAGCTCAGTGCACCATGGGAAATCCCCCGATAGTCTAGGCCTATAGCAGCATAACTAAGGGATGGTTCAGGACTCACCTGATCCAGCCCTAACTATAAGCTTTATCAAAGAGGAATGTCTTAAGCCTACTCTTGAATGTGGAGAGGGTGTCTGCCTCCTGAACCACAACTGGAAGCTGGTTCCACAGGAGAGGAGCTTGGTAACTGAAGGCTCTGGCTCCTGTTCTACTTTTAGAGACTATAGGAACCACAAGTAGCCCAGCATTCAGAGAACGTAGTGTTCTAGAGGGGTAATAGGGTACTATGAGCTCTTTAAGATATGAAGGGGCCTGACCATGAAGAGCTTTATAGGTGAGGAGGAGGATTTGTGGATTTGTCAGTACTCGTGCTGCAGCGTTCTGAATTAATTGGAGCGTTTTAATGGACTTATTGGGGCAACCTGATAATAAAGAGTTGCAGTAATCCAGCCTTGAAGTAACAAATGCATGGATTAGTTTTTCTGCATTTGTCTGTGATAGGATGTGTCTAATTTTTCTAATATTACGTAAATGAAAGAAGGCAGTCCTAGAGGTCTGCTTCATGTGGGAGTTAAATGACAAATCCTGATCAAAGATAACTCCAAGATTCCTGACAGTGGTGCTAGAGGCCAAGTTAATGCCATCTAGAGTAACTATATCTTTAGACAGTGAGTCTCTAAGGTTTTTGGGGCCAAGAACAAGAATTTCGTTTTTTTCTGAGTTTAACATCAGAAAATTGCAGGTCATCCAGGATTTTATGTCCTTAAGACGTGTTTGTAATTTAGATAATTGATTAATTTCATTGGGCTTGATTGATAGATATAACTGCGTATCATCTGCATAACAGTGAAAGTTAATGGAGTGATTCCTAATAATGTTGCCTAAAGGGAGCATATATAAAGTAAATAGTATTGGTCCAAGTACAGAACCTTGTGGAACTCCATGACTAACTGTAGTTTTTATTGAAGATTCATCGTTAACATGTACAAACTGCGAGCGATCTGATAAATATGACTTAAACCAGCTTAGTGCGGTTCCTTTAATGCCAATTTGATGCTCAAGTCTCTGTAAAAGAATATCATGGTCAATGGTGTCAAATGCAGCACTAAGATCTAATAATACAAGTACAGAGACAAGTCCATTGTCAGAAGCAGTCAGAAGGTCATTACTAACTTTAACCAGAGCTGTCTCTGTGCTGTGATGAACTCTAAATCCTGACTGAAAATCCTCAAATAAACTATTGTTATGTAGAAAGTCACACAACTCTTTGGCGACTACTTTCTCCAGAATCTTAGAGAGGAAGGGGAGGTTAGAAATCAGTCTATAGTTGGCTAAAACCCCTGGGTCAAGAGTGGACTTTTTAAGAAGGGGTTTAAACACATATAAACCTTCCCCCTATGTATGCTAGTTTTCTGTGTGTTATTAATTATAACAGTAACGTCTCTGTTTAAACCATTGCTCATAAATCAATGTGCGGTTTTATTGCAGATGATTTACTGGGAGAGTCAGGCTTGCACATAGAATATTAAATATTATGGACTGTTGTCATTTGGCCCTCAGGATACAGAACTCAGTGATCCACAACATCTGCAGGACAAGTGAAAACCTGAATCTTTCTGATTTCATATGTGCTGTGAACTTTACACGAAAATACTCCAAAAGGGAAGGGCTGCTGTCCTGCTGAAACCTGTTCTAAATATCACGATTTAAAGGTTAATGCAGCTTAAACCTAAGCTCCATCGAGTCCTGACACACCTGTAACAACCTGTTAACACCCTCTGGGACACCTGAAGGCTTCAGTTTAGACAGCTGCTGAAGGAAGAGAAATATAGCAGTAGATTAAAACAGAACAACTCTTATTTGCATCTTAATGTGTGCAGAAAATGATACTTTTAAGGAGCAGTGCGTGAGGGAAGGTAGAGGAGTCTAAATGTGTAAATAGTGAACAGAAGTGAGAGATGAGATGCAGGTTCTTCATGCAAGCAGAGCGGCCCAGGCGGCTTTGGGGTACCGTCTTCAACATGGACCTGGAGGTTTGGTGCATTACAGCACAGCTCCAACTGTTGCAGCTGTGGCTCCGGACAGCAGCACAAGCTTCTGTTTGTCCAGAGAGAAAGACACTCTGCAGCAGCTGAACCGGAGGCTGGCCGCATACCTGCAGCAGGTAGGAGCTGCATCAACAGCACATCAAAATGTTCCAAAGCTAAGCTGCTAAATGAAAAGTCGCTATTTTTAAAGATAAAAAAAGTTTCAGTGGAGTGTGTTTGTTGTATCTGCTTTTTATTATTTGATGCACAAGGTGGAAAAACTTAAACTGAGATGTGGAATTATTGTTTAAAGATCAAGAAAACATAAAAATGCCAGATTTCTTAATGGAGTTTTGCTGGAGTTCAGTTTTTGTTTTATAATTACAAAGTTAAAGTGGCATCTAAGTGAGGAGTCAACAGTTCAAGAGAATATAAAAGTAGCATTATTTTCAATGGAGTTCAGCGTGGACTGAAACAAGAACTGTTTGTTCCATTTGCTTTTTATTCTTTGATGAATGAGGTGAAACACAAAACCTCCGACATCTGATGGATCCAACAACAGCAAAAGAAGAACACAATTAAACTGAAATGCAAGAGTAAAGATTAATTATAGTTTTAAGAGGAAAACATAAAAATGCCAGATTTCTGAAAGGAGTTTTGCTTTGACTGAGTTCAGTCTTAAGTTAAAGTGACTTTTTTAAAGATCAAGATAACATAAAAATAACAGTATTTTCAGTTTTACATACAGCATCCTTAAGACTTATTTTATTCCTTTGAACTTTACCTTTAACTTTGATCTTTATTTAATGGTGAATTATTATGTTATCTGGTACCGATTAGAGTGAAAGAGTTTGTAATTTGTAGTTTTTGTGTTTCTTCTTGTAAAACACTGGATTTGTTTTTTACTCCATCAGGCCTTTAACAGTAAGTGGTGGATTGTAACTAAATACATTTACTCAAGTACTGTACTACATTAATGTAGCAGTGATTATATTTCAAAAACATCAGATACAACAATAAAACACTGACCAGGAACATTTTACTGCACCGTGAGTACTTTAAGTACTATTTAAGTTTATTTATATGTTATCTTGATCTTTAAAAAAGTAACTTTAACTTAAGTACTTTAAGTACATTTTGATGATAATCTGCTGATTTATTTCCTGTGTCTTCTGATTGGTGGATGCAGGTCCACTGTCTGGAGGCGGCCAATCAGAAGCTGGAGACTCAGATCCAGATGGAGCTGGACAGGAAGTGTCCCAGTGAGCTGAGAAAGCTGGACGGACACCTGGGGACAGTGTCCCTGCTGCAGAAACAGGTCAGAACACATATATTACACAACAAATACACCCAACCAAATCAAAGCTAATCAAATCTAATGTAAGCAGGTATTAAGGCCAACGGGCTCAGTCTGAGTCGCAGGTTGACAGCAGCACAGAGATGCTAAACATTTGGTTGAAAAACAGCAGTTTGGAGTTTTGTTTCAATCGGACTGATAGTATCCAAGATGTTTTCCTGTTAAAGGAGCCACTTGTGGCTCATGGCACTAGCACCAAGTTTCGTGTTAATCTGACAAACCTATGCAGAGATGATGCATCACTTCTGGAAACTGATATGTAAAAATAAACTGTTCAAGGCAACTATCTTATTTTGTCTTTAAACCAGGTACAGGGCAGGTTCTGCTACTTAAGAGTTTGATTTTAGACTCAAAAGACAACTCAACTTGTTTTTTTACAGTGTGAATACTTCCTCCGTCACAGGTTATATAACTCTGAACAACAATAAAGAACAGAAGCATCTGCACATGACAATCAGTTAAACCCTTTAGTCCTGGAGCCAATCAGAGACCAGGATTAAATATAGACCAAAGCAGGCCAGAGGCAGCCCTGCAGGTGGACTGATGTCGACTGAGGTGTAGCATCTCAGACCGGTTGTGGCTCGTCAGGATGTGGCGTGTCTGTTTAAAGGCCAGACAGGATGAGACAAGTTCAACACAAATCTGACATGGATTCAAATGTCAGAGATTAAATCTGAACTTCAACATGTCCTGTAACAATGAGCTGTTTATGGAAAGATTATCTCTGTAAAGACTGAAAGGTTCTGCCCCGAGGACCTAAAGTTAGTCTGAGAATAATGTGACATTTAATATAATGTGTGACTTCAAACAGGACCACACATTTAAAACAACAAATGGTTTTCTTCCCCTCTGTAAATTCACTGAACGAATCTCTATAACTGTGTCCAACTCAGATCTCTTAAAATCAACACTACACTAATTCTACTGCGACTGTAGTTCTATGGTTTCTACTACCAGAGGGGGTCAACTCACAATCGAATCTTATGTCATGGCTGTCAAGTCCCGAGTCGCTCTCAGAGTGAAAGACAAGTCCCAAATTAAGACTAAGTCCTGAGTCAAATTCAAAGTCGTGTCAGCTTCAGAGTGGAGACTCAATAAGTCCTGAGACAAGTCCAACAAGCCCCCGAGCCAGGTAACAAGTCAAGACCAACTAGTCTCAAGTCAAGTTCAAATTCAAGACCAATAAATCTTGAATAAAATTCAGACCAACAATACCAATACGTCCTGAATCAAGTGCCAAGTCAAGACTAACAAATTGTGCCCTAAGTCAAGACCATCAACTCCAGAGTCAAACCAAATCCAACAAATCTGTCAAGACCAGTAAGTCCCAAATCCAGTCCTAAGTCTAGATCAACAGTTCACAAGTCAATTCCCAAACTAACTAGTCTCAAGTCAGACCAACAAGTTTCAAGCTACATGTTATTTATAACTTGAAGAGCATCAAGTCATTTAACTCCAAATGAGGCCACAAGTCATTGGTGTTTAAGACAAAATCAAGCTCTAAATCTTTCTGGATTCATGACTCACACCCCTTTCTGTGACTACTACTCATCCACTAATGCTACAGTAGTAGCATGCCTTCCAACTGTCTTCTCTCTCTTCTCTTCTCTTACTTACAGATCACTGATTGTCTCTCAGCCCAGGCTCAGATTAAGCTGCAGCTGCTCAGTGCAGAGCTCATTATCTTCGATCTCAACGTCAGGTAGATCCACACGCCTTCAACACACAGCAGGTCACATATAAACAGAGCACATGTAGACATATCCCATCATCCCCTGCTGTGTGAACAGGTGTGAAAAGGAGCGTGAGCGTTGTGGTTGTCTGGAGATGGACCTTAGCAACCTGAGGCTGCTGGAGGAGGAACTGCAGGTCCACAGACTGCCGGAGCTCCACAGTCTGCTGAACGATCAAACACAACAACTGATGGGGCTACACGTACAACACCAACAGGTATATGATAAAAACCTCACCTGGATTATTCAAATGAACAAACTGCCTTTACGTCATGTGTTTAATCTACCTGTCCAGGACATGCAGGGTCTCATGGCCCAGATGTCAGGGGGTGTCAGTGTGGGGATGCATCCTGTTGAGTCATCAGACCTGATCCAGCAGCTGGACTATATGAGACAGACAAGTTTGCTTGACGAGAACCAGAACGATTGCTGGTTTGACCATCAGGTGAACAAAAATTGACAGCATGCTCTTATTTTGAAATAAACAACACACGAGTGAAATTGTGAGAAGTTCTGGAACCACAGTTGTCTGTGTGAGTGGATTTATAAAGTGTACAAACATCTTGTTGTGTTCAGGTATCAACATTGAGTTCTCCTGAGGTGACCTTTGACCCTCCAGCAGGGTCAGAAGTCGTCCAAGCCGAGCTGGACGAACTGAGAGGAAGAGCAGTGAGTCTGGAAGAAGAGCTGAACCAACTGCAGGCTCAGGTGAGATTAAATTACTGAACTTTAAAAAAGAGACAATTGACGATTCCCCATATTTCTCCACCAACCGTGATTGTCCAATGACTGACCTAGTAACTAGGGAACAGTGTGGATCCCACTAATGCCTACAAACAACCGACACCCACCCCAACACAAAGTCCAATGTCTAACATTACTGCTAAGCTTGTGATTTTACCTGTCTAGATAGTAGCATGGAGTCAATGGTCCAATTAAAACCTAGGAACGTTGCAGATATTAACATTATTCTAGGTATGATTGTTAATTTGATGCTTGCTCATGCCCAAGGACTGTGTAAAGCCCTGTATCTGTCTTTCTCTCTCTGTATGTAGAACATGGTGTTGGAGGCCTCTGGTCTGGAGCAGAACAAGTACTTCGTCCAGCAGCTGGTGGTCCTGCAGCAGAGAGCAGATAGTCTGTGCGGAGACCTGGACTCAGTGATGCAGGCTGCAGCTCAGCAGGCGGCAGACTATGAGTCCTTGCTGGACATTAAGATCAGACTAGAGGCCGAGATACAAGACTACATGAGGCTGCTGGATGGACTGAGCCCACAGGGGTATGAGATAATGATAATTACACAGGCCTTTCCAGGAAAATGACAAGGATATGAATGAGAAATTCCATAACCCTGGTGATGCTTTTTTTATACCATGGTGCTGAAGAATAATTTTCAGCTCTGTTCTTGCCATTCTTCTTGTCTTCATATGTGGTTGTCCTGTTGTTCACAGGGTCCCAAGTCTTCGCCCAAACTCTGCGGTTAACGTCGCATCTTTCTGTGTTACAACCAGTCCGTCTGCCTTCAGGAGAAACATCACAGTGAACAAAACAGTCAATGTTCAGGGAGGAAATCTCAGGATGATGGACGTTCAGGGTGTCACAAGCCACATCCATAGATTTGGACAAACTCCTGTAGTTGCACCACTCTCAGAAACAGTGACCACAGTCCAGTCAATCAGAGACCACAACAAATATCCAAAGAACTCACCAGTGACATCAATTAATGCTTCAAATCTGACAGGCTCATTCCACAACCAGAGAACAAGAGCTCATCCTGAAAGGACTGGGAGGGAATCCAGGACCATTAGTGCGACAATCAACAGGCAGAGCATCCCTGTGGTAGATAAAGTCTACCCTGACTATTACGATTTGCAGATTGTTAGTACTCAGATTAGCCAAGATTCAGACAAAGGAACTGTCATAAAAACCTCTAAACCGGAGACAAATACTATTCAAGGAATCACCACGGTGGCCCCTGACACACAATCTGCCAGGAGTGCTCCTGTTCAGACAAAACCAGAAACTTTAACTTCCAAACAAACTACCACAGAGGCTGGTTTGCAGGCTAATAAAACAGAAACAAACATTCAAACAGAAATCACAAAGACCATTGTTTGCACAGAACCAGAAGTAAAGAGGGAATCACATTCTGTAACACATACAACCACAGCTGATCCGAGCATACAAACTGCTGCAGAGATAAAGAAAGAGACAGAAACTGTGGTATCAATTACCTGCACTGAGAGCTTTATCCAGACTAAGAATCAGGATCCTGCACAGGTTGTGTCCTTGAGTTTGCAGACTCAAGCAGAAACTGATGAGGATGCAGAGGAAGTTGCTGTTACAATATCTGTTGTCTCTGGATCTCAGATTCTTAGTTCTCAGGTGGCTCATGGAACGGTCTCTGGTGACGTGACCCTGATGGATGACAAGAACATAGAAAGACAAGAAAAGACGGTAGAAGAAGTTGAAGGTACTTCAGGTGTCCTCAGATTAGATCAGAGTTTGGAATTGTCCGACGTATATAATAGTGATAAAAACAAAGTCATGGAGGACGCAAACACAGAGTATTGCATTGCAACTGCTCCATCTGGTAGCACAGACAACAGTGACATCCTTGAGAGTAAAACTGCACAAAGAATCACCATGCTGGTTCCTGACACACAATCTGCCAGGAGTGCTGTTGTTCAGGCAAAACCAGAAACTTTTACTCTGAAACAAACTATCACAGAGGTGGATTTACAGGCTAATAAAGCAGAAACAAACATTCAAACAGAAATCACCAAAACTATGCTTTGTACAGAACCAGTAGTAAAGAAAGAACTACATTCTGTAACACATATAACCTCAACTGATCCCAGCACACAAACTGCTACAGAGGTAAAGAAAGAGGCAGAAACTGTGATATCAACTCAAATTACTTGCACTGAGAGCTCCATCCAGACTAAGAACCAGGACCCTGCACAGATTGTGTCCTTGAGTTTGGAGACACCAGCGGAAGCTGTCGGAGATGCAGAGGAAGTTGCTGTTACCACATCCTTTGTCTCTGGATCTCAAATTCTTAGCTCTGAGGCGGCTCAGGGGAAAGTATCTGGTGATTTAACTGTGATTGATGACAAGGGCATAGAAAGACAAGAAAGGAAAGGAGAAGAAGAAGAAGGTACTTCAAGTGTCCTCAGATTAGATCAGAAATCTGCATTGTCCAATGCATCCAAAAGCCAGCAAAACAAAGTCATGGAGGATGCAAATGCAAATACAGGGTCCGGCATTGCAACTGCTTCATCGGTTTGCCTAGACAACAGTGACAATCTTCAAAGTAAAACTGCACAAGGAATCAGCACATTGGTTCCTGACTTACAATCCTCCAGGAGTGCTGTTGTTCAGGCAAAACCAGAAATGTTCACCACCAGACAAACAACCACAGAAGCTGATTTGCAGGCTAATAAAACAGAAGCAAACATTCAAACAGAGATCACCAAGACGATTCTTTGTACAGAACCAGAAATAAAGCAAGGGCCATACACAACCACAACTGATCCCAGCAAACAGCAAGCTGCTGAGGTAATGAAAGAAACAGAAAATGAGATTTCAGCTCAAATGAATTGCACTGAGGACTTAGAACAGGCTAAGAACCAGGATCCTGCACAGGTTGTGTCTTTGAGTTTGGATACTCAAGCAGAAATTGTTGGAGAAGTTGCTATTACAGTATCTGTTGTCTCTGGATCTCACATTCCTAGGTGTGAGGAGGCTCAAGGAAAGGTCTCTGGTGACGTGACCCTTATGGATGACAAGAACATAGAAAGACAAAAAAAGAAGGGAGAAAAAGAAGTATTAGAAGTAGAAGGTACTTTGTCTGGTAGCCAAGACAGCAATGACATCCTGGAGAGTAAAACTGTGGGTACAGAGATTTTGAAGGAAGTAGAATTAGAAGTGAACAAGGGGAAAGTAGTCAACAGTTTCCATGTTTCTAGCGAGGTAAAAGTGGATCCCATTGAGTCTGACAATGAGATGGTTAAATTAGCAGGTGAAGAAACATTGGAGAGTACTACAGAGCCTAAAAGGTCTACAAATCTAATAGATTCTGGTGTAACTTCTTCCAACAGTTCAATAAAAGCTAATGAATTTGTGAGCCCAACAAAGCCAGTTGCATGCCTGAGTCCAGAAATACGTCTGAGCCCAGTTGAGACAGAAGTGTTAATGAGTATGACAGATCAAATATTTCGCCCAGTTGATCCAGAAGAAAATGTTGGAAGTCCTCATTTGCTTCTGAGTCCAAATGACCCCGAAGTGTTTCTAAGCCCAAATGACTCAGACACATGTTTGAGTCCAGTTGAGGATAAGGTGTGTCTGAGTCCAAATGGTGAAGAAGAAGATGAGGAAGTATGTCAGAGTCTAACTGAGGCAAATATACACGTGAGACCAGTTGAGAAATACATTCTCTCAACAAAAGAGGAAGGTCAGTCCCTTTCCTTTAAAAGAGATGATGCTTTGACAGAAGAAGACAGAAATAGAAAAGTCAGTATTTCAGCGAGAGATGGGGACAGTTTGTGTTTTGGATCATTTGAAGGTAATAAAGGAAGTAGAGCTGTAGGTGGCATTGCAGATAAAAAGGATGTCCAGAATCAAGGTGGCAGTCCAGAAGGGAGGTGTAGCTCAGAAGACAAGAAGGTCTTGTCAGATAACAGCAAAAGTATGTCAGGAAGTATGGCTACTAGCAACAGTGGTATGGCTAGTAATCTGGCAGCTAGTTCTGGTGGCAAGGATGTTACTTCAGCAGGCATACTTAGTTGTAATGCAGAAGTTGCTCTTACAGCAGGGGCGCAGGCAAGATTCAGACGTAATAGTGGAGACTGGATGGTTTATGGTGGTAGTCTGGGACGTAAGAGCAGCCTGGATGGTAGCACTAGCATAGCCATGGAGGGGAAAGAGCAAGGCCCGTCAGTGGCCACAAATCCTGCAACAAGCTCACAACAAACAGGGAGATTTGGCAGTAGAGGGAGTGGTGAGTGGATGGTTTACAGTGGCAGTAAGAACAGCTTACACAGAACAAGAAGTGAAGAAAGCCCATCAGCAGCTATACTTCCTACAACATGCCCGCCAATGGCCACGCACCTGCCAACAAGCCCACCAGGGTCACTAGGAGCAGGGAAGCCTGGCAGCAGAGGAAGTGGAGAGTGGAGAGTCTATGGTGGGAGAAGTACTGGATGTATAAGCAGCTGGACTAGCAGTAGTAGCTTACCAAATGCAGATGGAGAAGAATTACCATCAGTGGCTATGCAACTAGCAACAAGCCCACCACAATCACAAGGATCAGGGAAGTTTGGTAGTGGAAGGAGTGGTGAGTGGAGGGTTTATAGTGGGAATACCGAACGTATGAGCAGCTGGGCTGGAAGCAATAGTTTATCCAACAGAGAAGAGATCCCATCAGTGACTGCGCAACTACCAACAAGCCCACCAGGATCACAAAGAGCAGGGAAGTTTGGTAGTGGAGGGAGTGGAGAGTGGAGAGTTTATGGTGGGTGTACTGGACGTATGAGTAGCTGGGCTGGAAGCAATAGCTTACCCAATGCAGACAAGGAAGAAATCCCATCAGTGACTGCGCAACTGCCAACAAGCCCACCAGGATCACAACGAGCAGGGAGGTTTGGTAGTGGAGGGAGTGGGGAGTGGAGAGTTTATGGTGGGAGTACCGGACGTTTGAGTAGTGCCAGTAGTGCAGACAGGGTCAGTGTCAGTGTCAGTCGTAACCAAATTATAAGTCCACCAAATAGCCACACAAATAGTGGACCAGGTGGCCGAAGGCTCAGCTCAGGTAGTGTTGTGAGGCGTAGTAACAGCGTAGGTAGTGGTGGCAAGTTAAGCAGCTCAGGTAGTTGTGGCAAACTCAGCAGCTCATCTGAGAGCTACAGGAGTAGCACCTCTGGGAGATTCACTAGTACTGGCAGTGTCGAAGGGAAGCCTGTTTACAGCTCAGCTAACGCACGCAGGAGCAACAGCCAAAGAGCCCCAAGCCCCGGGGGGAGGATGGGTGTCAGCATGGGTAGCGGTGGGTGGCTGAGCAGTTCACCAGGGAGTGGGTCTAAGGTTAGCAGTGCCGGTAGCAGTGACAAAATTAGCAGCCGAGCGGGAGGAAGAATCAGCAGCTCCTCTGGGTCAGGGAGGACCAATAGCACAGGGGGGAGGGTAATCAGCAGCAGTGACCGGCCAATCAGAAGCACTGGCAGTGGAGCAGGAGGCAACAAGGAGAGGATCAGTGTTTGCAAGATGGCGGCGCTGTCAATCTCAGCAGCAGGGAGGGAGAAAAGTCGGGACAGACAAAAAGAAGCTCAGCGGCCCCAACAGCAACAACAGGCTACAGGTGAGAACAACTTCACATGTACACAAGGTTACTTTAAAAATGTATTTGATACAATTACTAATTACCTGTCAAATACATTAAAAATAGCAATGTACAGAATTGGGTTTGCTTACAGACATAGAAAACTGAAGTATAAAAATAAAGAATATTCCCTCCCTTGCAGCTTCCTCTCCGCTCCTCCAGCGATGGCTGTCCACTGGTGGGGTCAGTTCCAATCCTGATGGCCTTGATGACATGCGTCTCTGATTGGGCGAGGAACAGTAACATCATGCATCAAGGCTGAACACACCTGCACAAAAAAAAAAGAAATCTGATTTAATGCCAAACAATTATTTTCTTATTATTATTTTTGACATCACAAAGTACTCCAATCATTTACTTAAAGGTCCAGTTAGTAACATTCAAAAGGATCTAAGTTGATTTGAGTCCAGTTTTTCAGATCGATATCAGTTTGTACTTGATGAATCCTCCACACATGCTAAAAGGTTTGTTAAGATTTGATGTTATATAAATGAAATGAAAGAATTGAATTATAGATTTGGGTTTTAATCCAGTGGACCGGTCCCAACCTACATCGACCTACTTGATTTCTGAGCTGGTCAGTTGTACATTTTAAATTGTGGCTTTAAATTTCACAGATTTTAAATGTGGTATATATGTATCTCACTGTGTATGGTTTAATGGTATCTCCCTTTATTATTATACACACATCAGCTTTTTACTTCACATTTTATATATCTGGTCATGATGCAGGTTTCTCTCTCAATGTTTGATTTCTCTGTCTACGTCTCTTATCTGGTTGTTGGTCTCAGCAATAATCTGTACGTCTAAATCTGAAATAAAGCTGATAAATGACGCATGTCCTGATTACCTCTTGTGATATTTTAAGATAATAAACTTTATGTGTGTAAAAGGCAAAAAACGCTCTAAAATGCTGTTTACAGAATTTATTTTAAATTAAAATTTTAAAATCGGCACGGAATAAATAAGTAACATATTTTTACATAATAATGTCAACTTCTGATAAAACACTTTTTGTTTAGCGTTTGACCAGCAGGTGGCAGCACAATCTAATTCTATTATATAGATATTATATATAGTTTTCTTTAAACAAGGACTTAGTCTTCAGTGTTGATGATGATGATGGACCCCAGAAGTGCTTTAGCCTTCGAGATACTAAAATGGGACAAAGCCCAACAATATTCTCCGAGGTCTCCGTATGTGAAATGGATTCTTGTATAAAAATATTTTACTGCAAAAGTGATTTAATTGACAGGTGTTGTGACCCTGTGAATAACAAACTGAAAAATAAAGCCAGGCCCAATGGGAGCCGATACACCTGAACTCTACAGGAGGTTCTTCTACATGTCTGAACGAACTGAATGTGAATATCTTGATGCATGCATGCTGAAGTACAGTAGGCAGAAATATCCCATCTTAGGGTGAATGTATACATTTACTTTGGCTGGGATTGTCCCACAAACACCAACCAGGGTTTGCTGACTGTGCTGAATCCAGAAATACATCATATGTAACAGGATCAGTGGTCGACATTAACAAATATAATATATACAAATATGACGTGTGCCAATAAAATGGAAGTCTAGTCTTTAAAAGTCCACTTCAATATGACAGAAACTATATCAGACAATTTATTGAATGTTTTATATAAACTTTAATTACGTCAATACGTAATAATTTGTACTGATAAAATATGTATGTTGTATATTTAAATATGTTTTAAAGTAAAACACTCATAAAACATGAAACATCCCCTAGCCGAAAGATTTCTTGTGTCGAACCTTTTAAAAACCGACAGCGTGCTAAACATTGAACACTGATGTCAGTGTGGCTTCCTGATCAGTTTTATATTCAATATAATCAATATATTATTTTTACACTCATAAGTCTGTGACATGATTTCATCCCACCATCTTTAACTGTAATAAACTGATTTACATTGGTCCTCAATGTTTATATTTGAAACATTTAAATTCCTCTTTAATCGTATTGACGTTCATCTTAAACAAGCTTAGGATCCTTTCAGGTAATAATTGATTATTAATTGGAAACAAAGAGCTTCATTAAAACGTTGCTGAGGTTCTTTCTGGGAGCTGAAGGTTTGTTTCAGTCATAGTTAGTCATCATTTATTTAGTTACCACAGTACAAAAATAGTCTATTACTGGTAAAATCCTGACATTAAAGTATCAAAGTAAAAGTGAAATGAATTGTTTTGAGTAACACTGGTTACTGATCATTATTAATGATGTATTAATATGTTGTTGTTGGTCAATGGAGCTCATTTTTAACTTTAATCATCTTTATAGGTTTTGTTTGTTTGTAAAATATGATTTTGTAAGTGAAGTTTCCTCAAACACATTTAGTCTGTTTCTCCGTATGATAGTGATAATACCACTTCATTATACATTATACATTAAACCATTCTCTGACACCTGGCCTGTTGGTTTTCCTCCAGTAAAGATAAGACTCATATCTGTAGGTGTATATTCCTTCTTCTTCAGGTTAAAATGTGTCAGGATCAAGAGATCAAGTGATCCTGTCCTTTACTTCTGTACAAACATCCATTATTTTACTACATTCCCAAATACAGTGATACAGGGTTCCTTTAAATTGTTGTAAAGTAAGTATATCAGATAAATGTAGTCAAGGAAACATTTGTCTCTGAGATGTATAAAGTAGCAGAAAATGGAAATGTGTGTCTTCTACAGTTGGACTGTAGGGGGCAATAAACACCACAGTGCTCTGATTTATCCTAGCTGAAGGAGACTGATCCTGTTGGTCCTGTTTGGTCCTGTGGTGTCAGTCTGACCACTGGAGGGCAGCAGAGTCTCAGAGCTCTGCAGACACAGACAGGTGGAGACATAAAGACGGATACATTAACAACAGAATAAACTTTATTGAGAGACGTCACAAAGACATTCACAAACAGAAAAGATCCATTAAAAGTCAAATAAAAACTCTCAGTAGATCTCTGATGGACGTCCACAGTGTCCACAGATCAGAGTCCAGACAGTCCACTGGTCTGTAAAAAGGTCCACAGTGTCCACATTATCCCCTGGGAGCTGGTTCTGGAGGATCTGCAGTTCACTGTCTGCAGTCAGTAACAGGAAAACTGCTGCATGTATAGAAGCAGATAGAAAGTGAGACTCCGCCTCCAACTGGAAAGCTATAACTCTTTATTCTGTCAATTCTGAATCCGTACAGTTGTTTTATTTGTAGAGTATTTTGACAGATATTGATTATGAAATGTGTCCTCTGTATTTGACCCTCCATCAGTTGGTCTGTTTGTGTTATTGAGACTTTTGGTGTTTTTAATATGTTAATTTGAGTACAAACTAACATCAGTTGCTACAGATCGAAGGTGGAGAAACTCCCACGTTCTATGAGGTAAAATTACCGTTTTTGTTAAAGGAGTCTGGTGACCTTTAAGAAAGCATAGATGGATATAACTTCTTCAGTTCCCTGTTGGAAAGGGCCGACTGACGGCAGCATAAAGTCCTCAAAATATTCAACATTATCTCTCGATGTATTGCATTTTTCCTCCTTATGAACAACTTTGTTTGATAAAAGCTGTTCTTGGTTTGACGGTAAATAGAACAGCCACTTTGAGAGTTTGTGATCCAGTGTAAAAAATCACTTTGTTGCTGTGATGTGACTCCATGTGCAAACAAATAACAGCAGCTTTATTAGCAGAGGACGACTGAGAGGTTACATAATCAACTCTCCTCCAACACACTTTCTACAGCTGGAACCCTGAACACTCCCTCACCTGTCAGTTAAATATGTCTCAATGGATCAACCAGCTTCTTTAGAAATGCAGAGGTCAAAGGATCACACACACACACACACACACACACACACACTGCCTGCAGACATCAGCAGAAACATGGTGTGTCTCTGGATGTTTCTGCACTTTAACAACTTATCAAACAAACAAGGCCTGCACAAATACTCAGTACACATATATCCCAGTAACAAACATTAGTCTGAAGGTTTTTTATCTCCACAACTGGATGGATTGTGATGACTCATTAAAGCTGGAATATGTCATTTCTGCCACTAGGGGGTCTCTCGTATCGAAACAATCGCTGATTAAAACCACTAAACACACTGAATAAAGCAGTTCCACCTTAACAATCACTGCTTCTCCCACGCTGTTGGACAGACAAAGGACGAGCTGCTGCTAACGTTAGCTCAGCTTGTTTCTCTGATAACTTAAGATCCAGACGTCTGATGACTAAAATCCTTCATCCGGTTCAAATCTAGAGTTAAAAAGCACCAAGATCTAAACAGTGGATGGTAACAATGTGGCTTCAGACTGGATCAACAGATAGAACAGAGCTCTAGAATATAACATGCTGCTGTAGCTTTATGACTAAATTCCTGACATTCCCATCAGCTAACTTAGCAAACATTAAGATGCTAACATGTTAATCTACCATTGTGAACATGATAATAAAAGAAATAAAATGAATAACATTAGCACATGCTGATGTTAGCATTAAGCTCACAGTGCAGAGCTGCCAGCCTGTGCTCAGGTGGGTGTTTGCAGGCTGTTTCTCTGAAGGATTTCTGTCTGATGTTGCAGCAGCAGTAAAGCTCTCAGCTCTGACCTCGTAAAACGTTCCTGCTGTGACCAGACTAACTTGTATCCTGGAGGATTTAATTGTAGCTGCGAGCACAGCGAGGAGGATGACAGGTAGGTGTGGTTTGATTGATGGCAGCACAGAAAGTTCTGACTGAAACGGGTCCGTCTGGTCTGCTGATACCGCTGCACAGGATCTTATCTCTCTTTGGATTGTTCTTACAGAAGCCCTTTAATGACTTATTCATTTGTTAAAATAAATTCTCTAACACTTCAGTTAAATATCAGATTAACGCTGGATAAAGCCTATTATTGATGTTGTTCTGAACGTTTGATATAACTCAGTTTATCTCATAAGAACACATTATAAAAGGTCTGTGTGAACAAAAAGCAACACTTCATCATCATTTTTCTTTTTGAATCAGTCCAGAATACGTGTGAATAGAAAGTTAAGAAGATCTGAAATTCCTGACTGATTGTTCTAGAGGAAGGACAAAATGTCACATGTGTTCACATGTTTGGTTAGTGAGGAGATTACTTTACTGGGGGAATCAAACTTTTCTCTAAAATCTGGAGAGATGCCAGTTTCTAAAAGCATCTTACTAACAGCTCAACGTGCAGATTTATACACTACAGATAAAATAATAAAATAATCAGTTTAATGCAACTATAGGACCTGCAACAAAGAAATATTTCTGTACATTTATTTTCAATGTGGAAATCAGTAAAGGTTCCTTATAGGAGCTTTAGTACATGAGGGTGTGTGTGTGTGTGTGTGTGTGTGTTAATGAAACACACACACCAGTGTGTCAATCTGCTGTCAGCTCTGCTGTCGTCAACAGATCATACGATGGAGGGTTTCTGCAGGTTGCACGAACAACGGAAAAGTTTTTTAAAAAGATTCTCTTTTTTAAAGGTTGCATTTCTGCACCAAACTCCATTCAGTTTTTACCTAATTCAGTTGGTGATGTGATCTTAGCATCTTTTCACAAATCTCTATTCAATTTTTACCTAATTTTACTGCACTGTGTCAACATGTATTACCCATTAGATTTAGTCAAACAGATAAAGGTGTAATATCTGGTTTGCTACATGGCCAAAAGTTTGCTATGCTGTGTGTGTGTGTGTGTGTGCTGTTTGTGTGTGTGTGTGTGTGTGTGTGTGTGTGTGTGTGTGCTGTTTGTGTGTGTGTGTGTGTGTGTGTGTGTGTGTGTGGTGTATGTGTGTGTGTGCTGTGTGTGTGTGTGTGTGT